GGGGGAGAGACAGTGAAGAAGAGGGACGGAAAGAGTGTGTGTGTGAGGATTTGATGGTAAAAAAGGTCGCCAATGTCACTTGATATGTATGAGAATATTAAACGTAATATTAACATGATTAATATTAAACTCTTAAAGTTACAGAAGTGTTACCCGTTGCAACGCACGGGCGTTCTTCTAGTTCTCCTAGAAACCAAGTGTTGGTAGCGCCACTACAACATCATCTTTGACAAACTGGTGGCATAGCTTGCCACATAAGGTACTACCACCACCATGGGATTACCATCAAACTCCACACTTCAAAGTTTTGCGGTTGAAATTTTTCTGGGAGTGCTTGAAAGATTATATAGCAGCTCTTAATATTAGTTTAAAAAGTGGGCCAACAATAGTGTTTTCCTGCAAAGCAAAGATCGGAAAAGAGCCCCAGGAAAATTACTCTCACAACTTCGCAAATTACTTTGGACTGGGACAACAGATCATTTGAGCCAAAGTGTAGAGAATGGACCATATCAAAAAAAGAATCACCACTTATTTTAAATCGAACTCTGAGGACATCCGAAGTGGACAATCTTAAAACCAATACCCATCGACCATGTAGAGCCCTCGGATGGGATGCAGAAGCCTCAGAGCAGCGAGGTAGAACCCTCAGGTGCGAAGCGGAGAACCCTTAGAGCGGTCAGGTAGATCCCTCGAAGTCGCCTCAAATTTTGTAGGCATATGCTTTGAGGGTATGACCTCTTCAATCGGAGGTTCATTGATTGGCTGCCCGGAGGCTAAGATGATCTTGGCTCAGATTTGTTCCACGCAGATCCTGTTCAACAGAAGAGGCAGCGCCTCGTTCGACTGCAACCTCAGCTACAACATGTTTTTGAGCATGTCCGCCCCAAGCTAGCGCGCTAGACTTGTGTTTCTACGAGAAACTGGCGACTCGGCACCACTCATGGATGTCGTCACTCGGACTCTCCAAGGCAGCAGTCCATCGCACTAGATTCCTATGGCGCGTACAATCACATAGTATTCACATCCTTTTTTGAAAGCCTAAATACAATTTCTGAAAGTTAGAAAATAGAAAAAATCCAAAAGTGGAAAGGTGCTAGTTAAACCCATGCAAACGCTGGGTCCAGCCAGGTTTCAGGACGGGCTTGTAAAAGCCTTACCTTCCTTTCTCAAACCCGAGCCCGGCCCGAAGCCCAAAATACTTCTGTTTTCAAGCCCGAGCCCGGCTCAAAATCAAGCCGGAAGCCTGAAAGGCCGATTCAAACGTTGTTTTCTAGTGTATACACATTCGAGCCTGACCTGAAGCCCGGAAGCCTGGCCCAAAATACAGAAAATGAGAAGCCCAAGCCCGGCCCAAACTACCTTCTTGGCTGCAAAACAAGGCCCAAGCCTGACCCAGGTTTTTCAGGCCGGGCTTTCCATGCCCAGGTCTAAATCTAATGCTAGTGTGTGACAAGGATTGAACACCATCGTGGTAGGATGGATGCTACTATATATGCAAGCAACAGCTCTTAGCCTCATACGAGTCCCAAGAAATCTTGATCGCGAGTGAGCCAATGGGCAGCATCGAGCACATGGAAGCTGCCGGCACTGTACGGATCGTATCCCGGCGCATGGTCCGGCCGTCCAGCGGAGGCGGCACGCCGCCGTCGGAGGTCATCCACCTAACGCCCTGGGACCTCCGCCTCCTCACCATAGACCACATCCAGAAGGGCATCCTCCTGCCCAAGCCCCCCGTCGGCGGCAAGCGCCTCGTCGGCGCCCTCGCGTCCTCCTTGGAGCGCGCCCTGGACCGGTACTGCCACTTTGCCGGCCGTCTCGCCGTCGAGGAGCTCGGCGACGGGACTGTCACCGTCGCTCTGCGCTGCACAGGGGAAGGCGCCGAGCTCGTCCACGCGTCGGCGCCCGGCCTGGCCGTCGCGGACCTCGTGGGCTCGATGTACACCCCGTCGCCGGTGGTCTGGGACTTGTTCTCGCTGAACGGTGTGCTTGACGCGGACGCGGCCATCGAGTCTCTCCCCGTGCTGTCTGCGCAGGTGACTGAGCTCGCCGACGGCGTGTTCGTTGCCGTGTCCATGAACCACTCCGTCGGCGACGGCACCTCCTTCTGGGAGTTCTTCAACGCATGGTCGGAGATCCACCGACACCGAGCCGACGTCAATGTCAACGGCCTAAACAAGATGAAGATGGTCTCGACGCCGGCGCCGGTGCTTGCGAGGTGGTTCGTCGAGACGAGCCCGGTGCCGATCCCATTGCCGTTCAGCAAGCTGCAGCACGTCCTCCGGCGGTTCGAGCTCCCGCCAGTGCGCGAAGGCTTCTTCACCTTCTCCGCCGCGAGCGTGAAGAAGCTCAAGGCGAGGGCGAACGGCGAGATGGCGGGCGTCGCCACCGCGCCCATCTCGTCGCTGCAGGCCCTGCTCGCGCACCTCTGGCGGGCAGTGTGCCGCGCCCGGCGCCTCGCACCGGGGCAGGAGACGTTCTACGCCGTCATCATCGGGTGCCGGGGGCGCGTGCGCGGCATCCCGCCGGGGTACGTGGGCAACGCGGTGGTGCCCGGCAGGGCGGTGTGCGCGGCCGGGGAGGTCCAGGAGAAGGGGCTGGGGTGGACGGCGTGGCAGCTGAACCGCGCCGTGGTGTCGTTCGACGAGGCGGCGCTGAGGGCGTTCCTGGAGCGCTGGGTCCGGGAGCCGACGTTCGCGTTCACCGGGGACCTGTCGTCGGCGGCGGGGGGCGCGGGGCTGGAGACCGGGAGCTCGCCGCGGTTCGACGTGTTCGGGAACGACTTCGGGTGGGGAAGGCCGGTGGGCGTGCGGAGCGGCCTCGGCGACAAGACGGACGGGAAGGCGACGGTGTTCGAGGGGCCGGAGCGGGGAGGGAGCATGTCGCTGGAGGTGTGCCTGGCGCCGGCCGCGCTGGAGAGGCTGGTCGCCGACCACGAGTTCATGGACGCGGTGACCCTTCCCGCGCGCGTGTGACCCTTCCAGCTGATGAGGGATTTGCTCGGCTTGCGGTCTAGTGTCGCGTGCGCGTATGCATGGCCATGTGCCCATGTCATCACGTCAAAACATCCTCTCGTGTATCCTCTACAGAGTATTTTTCTCCATGGCCATGCAGCTGCACGATTTAGAATCAAAATAACTTCTAGCTAAGGCGTGTGCCACACCATTTACTTATCTTGGACAATGTGTGAATGATCCTGATGCAAATCCGGCATCCTCTCGTGTATCCTCTACAGAGTATTTTTCTCCATGGCCATGCAGCTGCACGATTTAGAATCAAAATAACTTCTAGCTAAGGCGTGTGCCACACCATTTACTTATCTTGGACAATGTGTGAATGATCCTGATGCAAATCCGGCAGCTAACTGAATGCAGTTGCGTCGCCAGCCAATGGTCCTGCCCAGGGCCAACTGTGGTGCTACATTGTTGAGAAAAGACATTCTACCATGCACAGTATATACCGTGCATGTATCAGCCACTGGTTATCTTTGAGATTCGAGTATTTGACAAAAAACTACCACATTAGGGGTATCCGTCCCACAGAACTACCACTTTCAAAAAAGTGACTAATAACTACCGAAAATTTCAAATTTTGTGGCAAAAAACTACCAAGTCGTGTTGATCGTCCAGTTAGCCGTTTTAACCGCTTAACTGACAGGGATGGCCCACATGGCAGGCCGACGGCGGCCCTAACGGCTAACGGACGCCGCTCGCGGCCGTTAGTGGCCCGGCTCGGTCGGAACCAGCCAGGGGCTAGGTCAAAACGACCGACCGACCGGCCGAACGGCCGAACCACATCTCTCTCCGCGAGCTCTCTCCTCTATATTCCTAGGCGGCGGTGGTAATGGCTGCGTTGGATCCAAACCCCGACGGCGATTTGTTCGGCGGCCAACCTCCTGACGTAGTTGGGGGCCGCGTCGACTTTTCGGAGGTCGATACGTGGCTAGGAAGCTCTAGCTTTGCGACCCAACAACCTGAATCTGGAGTTGGCGGCGGCGGCGGCTCGACCACCGACGAGCCATCCCAGGAGTTGGCGGCGGCTCCACCACGGACGACGACAAGAAGTGCACCTCGTGGCCGGCGCAAGCTTCCTCGTGCGGGAGGCGGCAGGTACAACATATCTTCTTCCTTTTCAGTTTTATTGACAGGATGTATTTTAGGTCAATTTCCCCTAATGTATGATAACAGAGTAATTGCAAATTGTTAGAAACTTTAGCAGTGTGCATTCTTTATAATAATTCATTCCATTTTTGTCCAGTATTGATGACCCAAAATGGGGAATTTTGTTCCATTTAGAAGGCAGAGATTCAGTTGTTAGAAACATGTACCAGTCAGACATATCATTTGGGACTCTGATATCTCTTATTAGGAGTGAGGGTTGCTGCTCTAATGATTATATGTACTATGTTAGTGATGCTCATAAAGGGATAGAAGGCTTAGAGAAAATATCTTCTGAAGATGATGTGCAGCAGATGTTGCTCCACTCTCTAAATGAAAAGAGTGTGAACATAAGAGTTGTGAGAGCAAATGAGCTGAGTAATGCAGATGAAAACAGAGATTATTATTTTGTTGATCATTGCATTAACACCCAACAAAGTTGCACTAAGTTGGTGGATACAAGCATGGACAGAAAGGAAGAGCTTAAGAAAAGTATTCTTCAGAGAGAAGCTGACCTCAATCATTTTGAAGGTGACACTGATGTATCAGAATTTCTGTCTGATTCAGATGGCAACAGTGTGGAACTGCAAGCAGTTTCTTCATCTGATGATGAAGATAGACCAATGGCACAAAAACTAAAGCCAGTGAGAAATCCTGGTCTAACAATTAGATCACACAATGAGGCTGAGAAAATGGAAAAACCAGATTGGTTGCCTGAAGCCGATGAAAAATGTTTTCCTGGTGATTATGGCATTAGTGATGAAGAAGATGAGCCTGAAGGATCCTATAAACTACCAAGTGGTAGGAAGAGAAGGAATATGAAGTTGAAGGAAAGGGTATGGTTCAATCCCAAACTACCAAACCCAGAAGATCAGTTTTGTAAGGGATTGTGCTTCACCAGTGTTTATGAGCACATAGATGCACTTAGGGATTTTCACATTAGGACACTGAGGAACTTTCAATACCATAGAAATGCCCCAGATAGGATTATTGTTTGGTGCTCAGAGAGAGCACAAGGATGTGATTTTTATATCACTGCCTCTAAAATAGCTCATGAGAAAACTTTCTGGATTAAGAAGTGTGATATTGTGCACACTTGTGGAGCATGTGCAGAGTCCACAAAGGTTACTACAAAGTGGCTGTCCAGTTCAGTACAGGAAGCATTGAGAGAAGACATTAGATCTCCTGTGGATGCATTAATTAAAAAGACAAAGACCAAGTTTTCAGTGGATGTGTCAAGGAGAGTGGCATATAGGGCAAGGAGGAAGGCTGTTGATGTGGTGCAAGGTGATCACAAGCAGCAATATTTGAGGTTAAGAGATTATCTTCAAGCTGTTCTTGATACAAACCCTGGGAGCAGGTGTATAGTGACAACATTTGAAGATCCAGAAAACCCAGCACCTACTCCTAGATTCAAGTATCTTTTCTACTGTTTAGCAGCTTCAAAGGAAGGTTTCCTTAATGGTTGCAGACCATTTATAGGTAACTTTTGAAGATTTAACTGTTATTAATTAGTGGTTTCCTTGTAGTTCTATGTTGTAGCTAATTTGTCACTTAATCCAGGTCTTGATGGATGCTTCATCAAGTTAACCACTGGACAATAAATTCTTGCAGCCATAGGAAGGGATGGCAACAACAACATCTACCCCATAGCTTTTGGTGTGGTTGACAAGGAAGACGGAGAGAGTTGGACTTGGTTTTTAACTCAGTTGAGATATTGCATTGGTAGTGGCAACAAGTTTGGAACATACACCATCATATCTGACAGGCAAAAGGTTAGTGTTTATGCACAAATATGTTAGATAAATGTTGTTTTAGCATCACATTCTGCTCCAGGACCTTCTGCATTAGCACCATCCCCTGTTGGTACATCCAGAAGGGGCAGACCTGCAGGTAGAGGGAGAAATTCTGGTTTCAGTGCACCAAGATCTGCCACAACTTCTGCACAAGGTTTGGCAGGGACCAAAAGGAAGAGGTATCCAAGCTCCAAATTGAAGGGCTACTTCTATGCCAGTGGTAACTAATGGTAAGTCTGAACTTAGTTTTTGAACTTAGTTTCTGCTCTTAGTTTCTGCTCTTACTTTCTGCACTTGTCTGAAGTTGTCTGAAACTGAACTTGTGTGAAACTGAACTTGTCTAAGATGGGTCTGCTGCCCTGTTATGCTTTATTAATTTGGGCCTGGTACTGGGTTCGGTTATTGGATCTCTCTGCCCACACCCCCTCCCAAGCCTGCCATTCTGTCTACAAAAGACGCAGCGATCGTACAACATCTTTCCCCTTGAGCAAAACCTAGCCGCCGCGGAAGCACGCGGACCCTAGTTGAGCCAGAGATGGATCCAGCATTAGGAGAGGTAGTGGATGACCATGAGGAGGTTGATAGGGCTGCTGCGAGGGCCAATCGCAGAGTGCGTGCGCTGGAGCAACGGCGGAGGCTGGCTGCCAGGATTATGGCAGAACGCAACGCCAACGATGTCAAGCAGTTCAATGAGGCGTTCCCAGAAGGAACACACATCACAGATGACCTTGTCATCTGGTGGGCAAGAGACAGGGCAAGCTTCCATCGATTCCAAGTAACAAGGACTCGGTGGACTAGGATGTTGGCTGCGTTGGAAGCAAGAGAGGATTAGTTCTCCGCATGTTCTCTACTTGCTCTGTGTTTTCTGTTTATGTATGTCTCTGAACTTATTTCTTCCTTCATGCTACATTTTCCTGCACTTATTGTTGTTACTTCTGAATGTTCAGAGCGGCGTCATCTTCGTCGTCTGCAGAGTGAGAGAGCATGCAACAATGGAGATGCGGTAGCAAATTATCGTCATCTTCGTCGTCTGTATTAGTACTAAGTTTGCTTAAATCAGCTCGAACTATCTATGTTTTATGCGTTTTAATGCGTGGTACTGAAAGTTTCGTCTCTGTCTATGTCTGAATCTGGTTAAGGATCATGCTATCTAAGCATTGCTGAATGTTTCTAAATTTGGTTTAAGTTTATGAATCAGCTTTACGTTCATGAATGTCTTGTAAATACTTGAGAATCTGGTTTGAGAGCATGCTACCTAACTTTCACTTTCCCGATGAGAAATGGCAGCAAATTATCACAAGTTTCAACACACTGAAACTGTGAACATTAAATACAGCACATCTACCACCTGTACAGACTAGTAAAATCTCCTCACTATTACTACTCCACTGCCACACAACACCTCCCCCCACTTAACTCCTTCATATAACTACTACTCTAGCACCTATCCACCTCACTTCTGCCGCACCCACAACTACTCCTCCTCTCCCTAGCTCCAACCATGGCTGGTTCTTCCTCTTCCCCTTCCCCGGACCCATGGCTAAACCCATTCCCAATTGGCAAGGGATGGGTTGCCATGCTTCTTGGTTCAGCACGCGGCGACCAAGAACTCTTCCTCGACAACATGAAGGTCGCCATGAGGTACACCAGCGCTATTGGGCTGGTAGATGCAGCAGAGGCAGTGAGGAAGAAGGTGACTAGCGAGGAGAAGCAGCGCATGGAGCAGCGCTATGGAAACCCAGGTAAGGTGGTCATGCCCATCGACATTCTCCTATGGGCAATGAAGGAGGCCGACTCCGGCGATGCTGGGCAGAGGCAGCGGTGGGCAAACCACTGCTATGTCGCTCCAGCACAAGCTACATCAAATGCAAACACAACAGAGGTGCATGAAGACGACTACGACCTACTGCAGGCTCGCCGCCGTCCTCCTCCTATCATCGTCATTGATGAAGACGAAGAGGAAGGGGAGGTGGAGGTGCAGCCAAATCCCACCCAACTGAAGCAAGAGGTACGACGATCCGG